GGGACCCTATGTGAGGATCTGAGAGTCGTGTTTTTTTTTTTGGTACTGGGGCTCAAACTCTGGACCTTGTACTTTGTTTGGAAGGAGGCGGTGGAACCACTGAGCTAAATCCCTGGCCCTAAAATCTGAGAATTTTAAAAGTCACCACGGGGCACTGGTCTATGATGCTTCAAACAGAAATGTGTTCCCCCAGATACCTCAGACTCCGATGTGTAAAAGACATTTTGTTCTTTTTATTTATTTATTTATTCATTTAGTCCCAAGGATCGAACTCGGGCCCTTGCGCTTACAAGGCAGGTGGCAGCACCACTGAGCCAAATCCCCAGCCCCCATTTTGTTCTCTTTAAATGTAAAAGATACTTTGTTCTTTTTAAAAGCTTATTAAGTTTTGGTGGGTACTGATTTATAATCTCTCCAGTGTCTAACAGAGGCCCAGTAGTTTATGTGAGGTTTACATAAACCTTCTGTAATGACTGTTACTTATTTTCCACTAGGAAAAGTTAATTTTTAAATCCTTGCTGCCTGACAAATATAGCTTTGAAATTATAATTATTCTTTTCACATTTAATCTTTTGCTGAATCGAGAGTACTTTTGCCCACAGACAGTGGCCTTTGCTATTACTCTTAGATGTGTAGTTACTGGACCCTGCACATCTCTATGTGTAATAAGAACATAATGCTTGCTGGATCAGAATTGCATGAGGAGGCAGTTGTGGAATTGCCCTGAAAAGTCCTTGACTCATCCAGGTGGTACTGGACGTTCATATTGGTCACCACAGACTTTGAGTGCCTCTGACTCCTGTGTGCTTGCTGGTTTTTCTCCAGGTGCAGTCATTGCCTAGGGAAATGGCAGTGCTGGGATGCCAGCCACACGCCCCATGCCCAGATCAGCTGACTTGACAGTGAAGAAATCATTATGGATAAAATATATTGGCCCAGCATAATCACAAGGATCCTTAGAAATATCCCTGAGATGCAGAAGATCAGACTGGATGACTGAAGGCAGGGAGAGCTCAGCAGTGTCGTTTTTGACGGTGGAGGAAGAAGGCAGTGGACCTAGGAATGTGTGTGGCTTCTAGAAGTTAGGGAGGGAAGGAAATGTTCTCCCCTTCAAAGGCAAGCGCAGACCCACTAAAAACTTCGATTTTAACCCGGGGAGACCTGTTGTAGGGTTTCTGACCTGCTGCACCATGCACTTATAATACAGCAGGGCTGAGAAGCCACTTTTGCCAAAGGCACTTACTTCCCACTGAAACAGGACAGGTGAGGAGCTTGGGCCCCTGTCTTCCCCGCAGGGCTGCACTGAATAAACCCTTGTCCTGTTCCACCGTCGCTCTTCCATTTTGGCTTTTTGGGTTAAGTAGCCAGATCTGGTCAACGGGGCCACTCACATTGGGTCTCTGCCCTAAGAGAAGTTCCTGGATCTTACATTTCTCTCTTTTTTTTTTTAAAAAAAAATGATTCCATTGGGCTGGGGCTATAGCTCCGTGGTAGAGTGAGCACTCCCTCCTTCAGAATATGCGAGGCCCTGGGTTCCATCCCCAGCATTGTAAAATAAGTTAAAACCTGCTGGGTTTATGGTAATTTATTAATGCAGCTGAGAAAACTGCCCATAAATTGGGCATACATTGTGTACCTTGGTATCACAGTCTCATTTTGTTGCAGTTGTGTACTGATGGGCAGTGTTTGGGCAAAATAACCACCTATGCTGTGGGACCAAGGGCGGACTGCTCTGAGCCATGTTCCTCACACCAGTGCTGTTGCTGCCAGAGAACAGAAGCTAGTGACAGCTTGCAGGGTCTAAGAATAAATGCTTTAATCAGAACCAGACCTAGGGTTGCTGCTAGTTATACACAACTGATTTATGGTCCTCATCTGGTGCTTGACTAGAGAAAGAGAACTCGCTTAGCACGCTGAGTGCTGGCGCCGCTAGATTTGGGTGGAGCCTGGACACCTGAGTTTGTGGTGCAGGCTCGCTGTGCTGACGTCTGCCCTGGGGAGGACACTCTGAGCCACTCCAACTCCTCAGCCCTCCTGTGTGCTCTCTGGCTGCGCCAGCTCTCAAGCCTCTGAGAGCCCCGCCTGCTTTTCCCTCCTGCTGTAGCCACCTTTTGTGTCCACCGGGCCGTAGTCTGTGGGCTCGGCTAGCACAGTTAGTTTCTCTGTAGGCCATTTCCAAATCCTTGACCCTCAGCCTCTGGCCTCAGAAAAGAAGCATTCCTTTAGTATCTTTCATTTTAATAGACGGTAATAAATCAAACACTAACACAGTCCTAAAAATGAAAAGGATATGTTCAAAAGGTAGTGAGTTGTTTTCACTCCTGTTCCTGACATGAAGCTATAGATAGTTTCTGCGTCCCTTCTGAGGTGGCTGCTTGACCTTACTTGGCCCTTGGAGATTGTATAGGCTTCTCCCCACTCCATAAATACACAGCTCCTACAGAAATATCCCACACCCATTCTGCTTTGTGATTTGTGATTTTTGTGTGTATCTTCACTTCTTGGCAATACTAGCTCCTCCCATGCTGGATAATGTGATAGAATGCAGAACACTTAAGTGAATGGACTGCAACCCTTTGATTTTGTTTGAAAGGTGGGGCTTATCAAATTCTATGATCCACTCCACACCTCATTACTCTGCTGCTTTGGAGCTTACCACAGACATTTTTATGTGAAGATTGTGTCCCTGTACTCCTGGTTTGTTTGGTACTCACTGTGCAGTCTGGAACTTGGTGTTAACTGTCTCACGGCCTTGCCCTCTCCAGCCAAAGCAGTATGAGTCTCATCAGTCCCTTTGGTACTAGTCCCCGCCTCCTAGATCCTAGTATGGACAAGTAACAAGGTGCACACAGCACTGGGGTAATGGCCCTGCAGAGCAGTCAGGGTCTGCTGGCTGCAAAGGGACGGATTGACACACTGAAGGGTCCAGGTTACGCGCCACTCATTCAGCTTGGTCACCCTCTACGCCCTCCTAACTTGCCATGAAGTCAGAGAGTTTTTTCAATACTTCCTGTCCTGCTTTTTGTTATTGTCTTCTCATCTGGCTGTTTCTGTCAGCCACTTGCACAATTAAAAGTTTTTCGCCTGGAAACTTTTAGGAGCTTTTCTCTGTTGCCATTATTCTAAAATTATATAGTGGTGCCTCGGTTCACGAACTTAGTTTGTTCTATGATTTTGGAAAAGACAGCCACCCTATTTTCACTGGATGCAGTTTTCAGACAAAAACAAAATTTTGCCAGACGCTCTGTTTTTAAACAAAAGCATTCATGAACCAAGGTATACCACTGTACTTTGGTGTAGATCTACTTTTATTCATTCTATTTGCAATTTAGTGGGCCTTTTCAGTTTGACATTTTAAAATTATTATATAGATTTTTAGATTAAAAAGTCAGTAAATGAAAATGATTTCTAAAAACCATATGTGAAAGGGCTGGGGATTTAGCTCACTGGCACCGTGCCTGCCTTTCAAGTGCAAGGTCCTAAGTTCAATCCCTGGTACCAAAAAACCAACAACAAAAAAAACACTATATGTAAAGATATATAGTGAAAAATAAATTTATCTTTCTTACTAGTTCTTTCCCCAGACATTCGCCTCCCTTTTAAATTTTATTTAATGCTGATTGATAAAAGTATCTTTGGAATCAAGTGTATCTTGCTGGGTTTGGTTTGCCGGTTTAATATTGCCTCTCTATACTTAATTTTGGCAATATATTGCATATTCTTTTTTTAATCTTACTGAGTTGTTGGTACTTTTTAAGTATACAGTACAGTTACATTCATCATTGGGATCTTGTACCTTTACATGACAGGTCTTGTTTCTCATTTTTTCCCCTTACCCCCACCTTGCCTTCACCCTATATTACATAGTCTTTAATTAAACTGCTAGGAAACTTCTAAATACCAAACCATTTACTTGATTCTTTTTTGTTTGACATTCTATCATTTGTCTTATGTTACTTTTATGAATAAAGTATCCATATTGTACTTGCATGGAAAGTAATTGTATTTTTAAGTGGACATTTTTATAATAAGCTTGTAATTGTATATATTTAAATCATTAATGATTAATGAATGATTGAGGAACTCAATGGAAGAGGAATATACTTACTGATATTTAAAAGTATTATTGAGTGCCTCCTGGGCTAAAGCAAGATGATTGACCCTTCTTTGTTTTTTCCTGGCATGTCTTCTGCTCTTATGCACAATTTCTGGGATTGTTTCATCTTTTCCACATTGTTGAAAATGCATAGCTTTACTTTCTCTTTAAATTGTTCAAATCTTTCTTCCCCCAAACCCACAAAGCCATTTCTTTGCTGTGTGTGTGTGTGTGTGTGTGTGTGTGTGTGTGTGCGCGCGCGCGCACGTGCATGCGTGCTTGTGTTTGTGTACTGGAAATAGACCATACGATGGCAGTGTTAAACAGTTACTGGAGTTTAGTGGGATGGTTGATAGTGTGAGAATGTGTAAGTGTGTGTGCAGTAGGGAAATACCTACCACTGCTGTCAAAGTCTGGCAGATGCTGAAACAAAGTCTTAAGAGCTCTAATGTCTGTATGCATATTGCCAGATTTGAAGGGGGTGAGGATAGCTAGCTTCGTTGTGTCCTAACTGCAAAGATAGGCATGCTATGTGGTAGACATTTGAGGGAAGTAGTACTTTTCCTTTGTTAACAAAGTCCTTTACAGGACTTTGCTTTGTTTGCTTTTTTGCTTTGTGTAAGAGGAAAGATTGCTTGTCATTATTTCTTAGTCCAGTTCTGTGAAAATTCTTTCTTATTAATAAATTTCCTTACAGGTTTTAAAGCCATACTGTAGAACTTTGTTTTTTTATTAATTATGTTTTTTATTTTGTCCCTCAGTGATAATTTAATTATTGGGGATAAAATATATGTTTAAGTGCAGTCTTACCAATAGTATCTAGAAATCATGCATGCTATTTGTGTACAATATTGAGAATGTAATAGTTTCTAAAAGTTGGTTTTATGTAACTTTTCTTTGCCAGATGCTGGACCTACCCACAGTGACTCTGCTCAGGAGACGACAGCCATGACACTACCAAGCGAGTCCAGGGTTGGGGCCCACGCCATCGCCACACTGAAGTCATTAGACTACAGGTACGGTGTTCACTGTACAGAACAGTACAAAACACACTGAAAGCTTCTGAGAAAAAAGGTCCTTCGGCAAAAGTACAATTGGTGAGGAAAAATATCAAGGTACTTAGAATAACAGCAGGTGCAAACACAGTGATGAAATAAAAGTGTAATGAACTTAACTTCCCAGGCCTCATAGGATTTATTATGCCCAAGAGATTGATGATGCCTTAATACTGAGCTATTTCATAATGCAAAGATAAAAAATGAAAGAGGGACCATATTGCTAATAAAATTCTCTGATTCAGTCATCAGCATGGAGAGAAGTTTTACATTAGAGGGTGAATTGTTGGTGAACAAGAAACAAGTATTTAGTTAATGAAATACTTGACTAAAAGGTAAATAATTTTTCAGTTATAATGTGTTCTGGTAGCACATACATTAACACTGAGACAGTTGTGTTAGAGTATAAATGGAGACAAAAGCCTACAATTTTTCTGTCTTCTATAGAAGTTATTGGGGAAAGATGATATCTATGAAAGGACTGAAGGGACTGTAAAGTATTCTTTCAGGGCTAAAGCAGCAGTGATTCAGCAGTACTGTCAGAGCTTTCGGTGAGTGGGTTACGTATGGATACTGAGATCAATAGGAAAGAATGCAGATGCGAGCCAGGTGTGACACTGCGGCTGGTAATCCCAGCATTTGGGAGCCTGAGGCAGAGGAATTGTAAATTTGAGCTCAGGCTGTGCATCCTAGTGATTTAATGAGATGCTGCCTCAAAATGAAAATAGAGAGTCAGTCAGTCAGACAGGTGACTAGACTCATACAGGAATCTACACGGCCCCACTGGGTCTGACTGTGTACCTTTAATGTCTCAGTTGGAGTCACCCCGACAGCCAGGTTCCAATCTCTATTTCAAGGTTTTTGTTTTTCATTCACATAGTTTTCAGCTCTTGCTTGTATGTGTAGAAATCACTACTGTAAGCTAAGTGCTTTTGCCACACTGACATAGGCAGTTTTTGTCTGCCTTACGTTTGTGTTCATCGTCTCACACAGCGTGACGATGTAGCTCATCTTCCTCACAGCGCATCCAGCACATCTACCTGTTCTTCAGTGGGTATTTTGAGGGGTTAGCAAGTATCCTATTCTGTATGAGCTGCCACAAACACAGTGGTCGATGACACTACTTCATTCCTGCCTTGGGATTCTTAGCTTAGGATTTCTTTCGTCCCGGTCTTTGGTTCCCTGCTTCCTGAATGGATGCCATTCGTGGGGTACTGTGCTAGGTCATTTATATTATATATAGGGTTTCTGTTAATGATAAAAGAACCTATCACACAGTACTAATCCAGCTTTATTTGGGATACCATTCCCAATTTTTACAGAGCCTAGTTAGTATAAAACATAATAAAGATACATCTTAGGTCATTTGAATTCTAACTTTATTGTACTTATTTCTCTCAAACAATTTAAAGGAGCATCTTATTTAAAATATAAGCTAATTCTTTTTTCTTTTTCCTTTTTTTCCTTTTTTTTTTTTTGGTACCGGGGGTTACTTGGGTCC